AAGTATGTGTTAACTCCTGTAGCATGTCAGCCTAGGAGAACAAAAAGATAGGTCACTAGACAATTAGTCTTGCTTCTGAGTGTCATCTGTGAACACAATAGAGGCAGTGCCTGAATTCTTTTCTTTTTAATTTATTTTATTTTATTTTTAATTACACTTTATTTACTTTGTATCCCCCCTCTAGTTCCCTCCCTCCTCCCCTCCCAATCCCTCCCTTCCACCCTCTTCTCCACGCATGCCCTTCCCCAAGTCCACTGGTAGGAGAGGGTTTCTTTTTCTTCCTTCTGATCCTAGCCTGTTAGGTCTCATCAGGAGTGACTGCATTGTCTTCCTCTTTGGCCTGGTAAGGCTGCTCCCTTCCTCAGGGGGAGGTGATCAAAGAGCAAGTCAATCAGTTTATGTCAGAAGCAGTCCCACTTCCCATTACTATGGAACCCACTTGGACAGTGAACTGCCATGGGCTACATCTGTCCAGGGGTTCGAGGTTATCTCCATGCATGGTACTTGGTTGGAGTATGAGTCTCAGGAAAGACCCTTGTGTTCAAATTTTTTGGTTCTGTTGCTCTCCTTGTGGACCTCCTGTCCTCTCCAGATCTTACTGTTTCCCACTTCTTTCATAAGATTCCCTGCACTCTGCCCAAAGGTTGCTCATAAGTCTCAACATAGACACACTATCAATAACACTTTGACTGGAACAGAGAGGCCCAGGAAACTTGTCTCATAACCACAAAAAAAAAAAAAAAAAAAAAAAAGAAGATGCTTGCTTTGTGTTGGGTCTTGTTCTAGGTGGTGGCACTGTAGAAGCAGTGAGATAGATCAGAGATCCTCCGTGGCTTCATGGAGCTTAAACTTTAAAATGTGGAGAAAGACTAGAAGCAAAGATAAACTTACTATCTCAGGTGGTGTCGAATACTACAAGTACCTCAAGGGGAAATAATTTGAGCAAAGGTCGGGGAAGGTATCTCAGAGTAATACACATTTGAGAAGAGGCAGGAGGCAATCAACGAAAAAGCACAGGCTATCTGAAAAAGGGAACAGAAAGTGCAAAGGGCCGGCGGTTCCAGTACGGGGGTCAAGTGGATGGAAGAGGCATAAGAGGAAAGCACCCTGTGTTGAGAGCACACTAGGAGCCAGACTCCCTGGCCATGCAGCCACAGAGGTCTGCATGGTTTTCTTAGTGTGACGTGCACCCAAATTCATCAAATATCCATTTGGTCTTTGACTGGAAGAGAAACTGATGGGATCAGGGTGGAAGCAGAGAAGCTAGTTAGAAAACAGCTCCGTGGGCCAGGCTACAGACAGAACTGGGAGAGAAGTTGTTGGCAGCCATCATGATCACCAATTCCTACCTCATCGAAGCCTCCCCCACCTCACACAACAGGTTTGATGGTTAAAGACAGTGATGAGTCTACAGTCACTGTGGAGTCTACCATGTGTCAAATAGCTGTCCAGGGCCTGTGGGATCATTCTAGGGTAGAGCCTCGAGTGGGTCATACACACCCTGCTCTGTTCTCATCTACTGGCTTGAAGTGAGCACAGACCCTCTGTGGAAACATGAAGCCACATGGGTGCTCTCTCCGGAGGGGCTCTAGGACAGGACATAAATTCTGGAAATCGCTGAAAGCGGGGTAAACGGGTTCACTTAGAGTGGTGGTACTAAGGGGAATTTAGGAAGATGCTCGTCCCTGGAATCTACACTGGCCTGCCCCAACTCCAGTTCCTTCTATTAAGTGAGGTTAGCCAAGGCTCCTGGCAGAATGGTCATGAAGATGGAGTGTGTGAGAGTCCCTCACATTGGCTAGGACAACCAGAGTCCAAGGTGGTGGTGATGGGGGCGGTGGCAGCAACAGCTGTGTGTGTGTGTGTGTGTGTGTGTGTGTGTGATTACTATCATTGTCTGTATTCTAGGCTTCCAAATATCAGAAGTAAAATAAAACAATGAGGCCTGGATGACAGTCAGGGACAGGGTCAGCTAGTGTGTGGATTGGTCCAGCAGCGAGACACTGCCTCCCTCTTGGTACATGACAGAAGCATGGATTCCTTCTGAGCCTTGTCACGGGGACTCCAAGTGCCTGACCCATCAATAAAGCTGGTGACACTGGATCAGGACTCAGTGAAAGGTTTGAGTAGTGGACAACTCCAATTTTTCTCTCATAGCACCCCCTGGTGGCAGTCTCTGCCATTCTCTCTGGACATCTCTGCCCTAGTATCTAAGTCGTTAAGTCGTCCCTTCCCTGGACTGCTTTTTCCTTCTCAACCTCCTGCCATGCTCTTACCTACACAAGAGTCCCCCCACCCAGAGAGTCTTCTTTGTTCCCGGGTCCTTTGGTAGCCTCATTATCCAGCCCTACCCATACCCCAGGGCAAGCTGGATGCAGGGTCTCTCTGATATCATTCCATCCCTCAGCTAGTTCAGGTGAGGTTTCACTCTGCTCCACTAAGTCTGGGAGGAGGAAGGGGAAAAGGAAGAAGAGGAGGAAGAGGAGAGGAAGCTGAGAATCTCACTACAAGCCTGCTGGCTCCAGCTCCAGGGAGGTCTGACCTGAAAGAGATCCCTGGGTGAGCTTCCACAGTGGACCAGCTCTCTGCTCTACTTCATCTATACCTCCTTAACCATACCCTAACAGTGACCCTGGTCTCTTCAGAACTCCCTAAATAGACCAGACGCTTCCACGGTCCTAAGCTCATGACTCCACTTAAGCCACCTCTTCTTGCCAAGAAATGTCTTGGGTGTCGTCTGTTGCTGCTGGTGGTGTCAGGAAACCTCCAAGACGTGGCAGTGAGATCTATTCATCTTTTTACTCTGGCATCTGGCCACACCGTGATGTCAAGTAAATGTTCCACAAAGCAACATGAAGTGTTTTAAAAACTACGAAACACCAGGCCTTTGGACAGAACAGGAAAATGGGTGACATGAACCAAGAGGCTTTCCTGGGAGAAATTTTGGGGTGCTGCTATGACTAATAATAAAGTCAGCATTCATCTCTCTGTTGGATCATGTTTTCACATGTACTCCTTCCAGTGGGAACCTAGGGGGAAGGAAGGGCAAGGACAGCATGTAGGTGATAGCAAGTCATAGGCTGCAGAGTGTGCCCCGGAGCAGCTATGAGCAGAGAACGGCCACCTCTGTCTCTGTGTTCATCCTGTCCTTCAGCTTGCCATGCCAAGTGTCTCCATGCTTGAAGAACCTGGCACTGGGCTAGAGAGGTGGCTCAGAGGTTAAGAGCACTGGCTGCTCTTCCAGAGGTCCTGAGTTCAGTTCCCAGCAACCACATGGTGGCTCACAACCATCTATAATGAGATCTGGTGCCCTCTTCTGTCGTGCATGTGTATATGCAGACAGACCATTGTATACAGAAACAAATGTTTAAATAAAAAATAAAATAAAATAAAAATAAATAAATAAATAAATAAGCTGGTACTGGTGGTCACTGACAGGGGTTCCAAAGGTCATGGGTTGAATTCAGACAGACTTGGGTCTGGATATCAGCACTGCCTTCTCCTAGCTGACCTTGAGCAAGTAGCTATTTTATTGTGATGAAATGAAGGTAAATAACAGATTGAATTCTGTCCCTCCACCACTATGTTCTCATATTGAAGTCTTAACCCTTTGGGTCTCTGCTCCTGAACCTGCTGTATCTCCCTAGTGCCCAGAGACAAAGCAGACCTGAGCTCTATTTCTTTTCCTTTCTGTTTTTTCTCTTTTAAAGTATTTTTCAGCAGGGTTGGTTTCCCTGGTCTTGCTGTTTGTTTTCTCAGTACTGGGGACTGAATCTAGAGCTTCACCAGCGTTAAGCAGGGCTCAACTCCAGCTTCCTCTGCTTTCCTCCTCTTCTCCTATCCCCTCTCCTCACTCCTGGGGCCTGGCAAGTCATGCCTCCACTGTCATCAACACACCACCATCTCTTTACCACCAGGTCTTGTGTGCTTTGGTTCCCATGCCTCTGCTTCTGCCACTATTGGAAATGCTTCCAGCCATGCAGGGCTCAAGGGTCACCTCCTCCAGGTTGCCTTCCTGATTACTGGCATCCAGCATGTGATGGTACTCAGGATATATTTGTTGGATGAATGACTAAATTACTCATTCCTGTGGTTCATGGGTCAATGACGTCACACTCTTCCAGGCTGAAGGCCCCACCCTCTTGGGTGAATGCCCTGGTGAACTTTTCAGATGAAGCAAGAATTCAAATTCCCAGTTGTTGTTTTGTTTGTTTGTTGTTTGTTTTTTCATAAAAGAATCCAGATAAGTCAGATTCTCATCTTGAAATGACAAAGTAAAAGACCCAGGAAGCTGCAGATATCTGGAGGAGCCACCTAACCATGCTGTTTTTCCCAGAAGCCTTTAGCATCAGAACCCATTTTTTACACAGGAGAATGCTGGCACTCAAACAAAGCAAAGCCCCAAAAGGTACTGGAGCCACCAGCCTGGCTTCTGTCTGTCTCAGGCTGCCCGGGACATGCCCAGTGCTCCAACCATCTGGAGCTCGGAGCCGTTCTTGGGGTTTCTCCGAATTGGTAGCCTTTCAGCCCCACCCTTGACCTTCAAGCCTGGGGCTGGCATTAGCTTCTGCCCTCCCCTTGCCACCTGCCAGGAGCAGGCAGCAGAAAATCTGGCCACTGGAAGACCTTCACATGCTACCAGCGGAGAGCCTGGAATGATCTCAAACTGAAACAGAAGCCAGGGGAGGGACAAAACAGGTGGCTCTCAGTGTTGTTAAAAATTAAATTAAAAAGAACAAGTCAAAACACAGGAGTCTGTGTCCAGGCTCCTTAACTCCTTGCAATGGCTTTAGAGTCCTCAAGCCCTCTGTACCTCCGCAGCTCCCTCTGCGCCGGAGGACACCTCAGTTTAGCGACAAGGAACTGATTCTCCACTCCAGACCAACCTCTTCTGTAACCCTGTTTTTGCTGGTCACCCTTCACTTTCAGCTTCGCATCCAATCTGCAGGCCTCTGCATGGGCGCAGTGCCCTCTGGCGGGAGAACCGCGCGTACACTCACCGGCGTGGGCGCGTTCACCACCGAGAGGTTGTATCCGTACAGGAAGGAGGATCCGAAGGCTCCCACGAGAGCAGCCACGACGAGTGAGCAGGACCAGTTCTGGGAAGGTAGAGGAAGGTGTCAGAGCGGGATACCCCCTTAGCCTGAAGGCAGCCCAGAGAAAATTCAGGCGGGAAAAGACGCAAGGGGGGTGGGTGGGCGCAGCAAGCAGAGTTCCTACCCCAAGGTCCCAGGGCGTAACTGTGGTCCTGCAAGGCTGCCTGAGGGTCTCCGCATCCTCCTTAGCAGGCCCCTGCTGTGTGCGGCCGCTGTCTGACTCAGGGGGAGCAAAAAGCAACGCTAAGCTGTCAGCAGTGGCCGGCACTCCTTGAGCGCTACCACGAGTCATCGTTCTAAACACTTTCTATGTATTGCTCTTCTCTGAATCTCTAGACTTGTCAATCCGGTTCTACCCACAAGAGCGGGGGTGTGGGGGTGGGGGCGTGCAGAGCTGTCCAGGTGTTGCCCGGGGCCAGGTGTCCGTTACAGGACAAGGCTTCCTAACTGGCACAGCTGACTCTTCAGAGTCCAAGACAGGAGGTGGCCCACAGATGCACACCCGTGAGCGTACACACACTTGCACAGTTTCAGGCGTGCAGACTGGTGAGCGCAACTAAGAGTAAGGACTTGCAGATAGAGAGGCAGGGCTTATGCTGAAAATATGGCACCTGCATCCAAGGTACTCCTGTCCCAGCCTCATCCAAGATGACCTCAGCCAGGACCTGGCCATGTTCATGAACACCTGGGACCTGGGTGAAGGAAGGCTCACCAGCTAGGTACTGGAGAGCTGCCACAGGCCAGTGGTCTGGTAGAGGGAACTGGGGGGGGGGGGGCACTTGCAGCCACCACTTAACATATCTGTGTACATTTGTAGGGGTACCCTCAGGGGGTGTACGAAGACAATATCCAGTTTAGGGACCAAGACAAGGCACAAATATAGTTTGGAACACGGCACTGGACCCTAACAGCAATTCCGTGCTCTGCCCTTAGTCTCTTCTTACTAGATTCCAGAACCATGAAGTTGCAAGCATCAAAGCAGAGACTGGAGGTTTCTGGGGTTCAACTTGTCCACCTGTAAAATGGGCTTTCATAGCAATACTGCTGCTAAGAAACCAGTGGGCTGTTAGACACAGCCAGTTTCCCTCCCCACCCCACCCCAAAAAAATAAGAGAAAGAAAAGAAATAAACTCTTCTACTTCTCCTCTCACTTTTTTGTTTGTTTTTTATTTTTGCTTTTCGAGACAGGGTTTCTCTGTATAGCCTTGGCTGTCCCGGACTTGCTTTGTAGACCAGGCTGGCCTCAAACTCACAGTGACTTGCCTGCCTCTGAGTCCCAGAGTGCTGGGATTACAGGTGTGCGCCACTGTGCCTGGCTCATTTCTCATTTTTATCTCTTTCACTCAGCTTTGGATTCTAACACTGCAGCTTCCACAGTGTAAGCTTCAACCGGTAACACAACCACTCCTTAACCAGCTTCCTCATCTTCAAGAGAGGATGTAACGGAAACCACATCATAAGGGGTTTGCACAAAAACAGGCTCAGCCTGGCACTGGTGCATGCCCTGCCTGTATCAGCCTCCTGGAGGTGGGACCTGTCCCGAGGGCTGGGGCTATGCTGTTTGTCTCCTGTGTCTGGTGCCAAGCCTGCTGCTGAGGCAGCCTTGGGTAACGCCTGGAGGCCTGACAGAGGACGGGAGTTGCTACTCCAGGAATGGACATCACCAAATAAAATGGCCTAGAATAGTGTTGTACAGTAGGAGGAGTTTGATTTAATTGGATTCATTGCACTGATTTCTTAAGAAGTACTCAGTCTCCATCACCTTTTCTCCTTTAAGTCCCATTGGGGTCTGAGCTCAGACCATTTGCTCTTAACTGCCCAGCACCAGCTACACTAAGCATCTTTTCTAGGTTCTGCACCTTCCCTTTTACTCTGAACTCATTCTTAAGGGAGGACTGCGTCCATGGGGTCTTCAGGGGTCCTGCTAGGCAAGGGAGAATGGTAAGTGGAAGCCATCGCCTGCCTCAGCCTTTCTTCTGGGTGTTTCCTGTTTCTCTGAGGCCTGTTGGTTCCCTGTTCTTGTATAGCCTGCCTCCACTTCTTCCTACTCCCCCCCCAAAAAACACACACACACACACATACACACACACACACACACACACACACACACACACACACACACACACACTTCTTCTTACTGATGCCAGGGAAGAAGATTTCTATGACCAAGAGTATGACTGTGCCTGCTCTGGGAAAGGACAGACAGCAAACCCTGAGCAAGCATGAGGCAGCTGTGCACCAGAACTTCATTCTCAGTACACTGACAGGCTACCGGGAGTGTTAGAGAGTGGAGGCACAGAGGTTAACAGGAGAAAGTACAGAATTCAAACTCCAGCATTCCTGCTCCCGGGTGTTATGCTGCATAGCTGCCAGACAGGGGCTGAGCTCTGCCCCACAGCAGCCACCTAGGCCTGTGCTCCCCACAACTCAGAAGCCATTCTCTGTTTACCTTCTTCGTCTTCTGCTGCTGACCCACAGGCAGCTCCCCAGGGAAGCTGGTGTCAGGTATCAGGGAAGCTAAGGCAAGCTCCCTGGCATCCATGTTTTTTCTTCCTGCCTCCAGGACCCTGGACTTGCCGGGGCATCTCCGAAGTGAAAAGGCAGAGTCCACGGGAAGGAGGGCAGAGCAGGAAACGTGGCTGTGTGATCGTGCCCCAACAGGAAGCAAGTAACACTTCTCCCTTGCTCCTAAGCAGCGGGAGAGCTCTCCCCAGAGTCACACCCAAGACGTGTTTTTTTGGTTTTGGTTTTGGTTTCTTGGGGTCCCCCCCCCCCGCCATGATTCTCTCTAACAAGGCCAGAGCTCTGGATGGGGCTTGATGGTACAAACCCAGAAAAACTCCTATGAATTAGGCCAAAGGCTATTGGCTTTCTTTCCCCTAGGAGCTGGGTGGTTTCCAGGGCTGACTCCTCCACTTAACAGTGTCCACAGGCAAGTCCTGACAGTTCTCCCAGCTTCCACTCTGCCGAGGCAAAGTGAAATATTGATCTTTCTCTAATTGTCCTGCAGAGTCAGATCTGCTGCTCAAATAGCAAACAGGCAGCCAGGGCTATTTATCTATGGACCTTTCTGCAGGCCCCGATGGGCTCAGTTAAAAAAAAAACAAAAAACAAAACAAAACAAAAAAAACATAAGGAGGCAGTGACCTCGTGCACACCAGGACAGCATGAGAATTAATTCACTTCATGGCCAGTTTGCCCCGGCGTGTCAGTCAGAGAAGGAGAGGCTGTGTGAACTATGTGATCTGAGAGGCTGGAAAGGGATAGAGGCAGCTTGGTCAATGCAGAATGCCTAGGATGTGAGGGACAGGGTTCAAGTCCCCACACAAGACTCTGAGAAGCTATGTTTAGTGGAAAGGACACATGGAGATACAGAATGTGAGGAGAGGAACTGTGCTGGGGACCTGATTGTCACATGTACTTGAAGGCATCCAACCCCAGATGCACAGCAAGGAGACAATACTGCCCACCATAAGCAAGAACAACCAGCCCCAGTCCTCAGCAGGGATTCACAGAGGCCAAGTAATCGGTCACTGTGACATTCCTCAGTCAGGGACAACTCCTGAGGACACAGATAGCTGATGCAGATGAGGACAGCCACACTCCTGCGCACTAAGGACTTCATGTTCTCATTTCTTACTCACCCACCACCCAGCTTCCCTCAGTGTGCATTTTTTTTGTTTTGTTTTGTTTTTTCACTGCAGTGACAGGTCTCATCAGTTTTTAAAAGCTTTCCGAAATCCATCAAGTGAGCCCTTCCCAACTTAAAACTTCTCCAGTGCCCACTGGACTGCAAGCTCAGGGGCTTGCAGCCAGCATGCATCCGATGGTCAACACGTACGTATAAGTACGAGTCACAATATCAGGGAGGATGCCAAGGCCCTGCCTCTCCCCGAGAGCTCACTGGGGAACTAACTGGCTTTCTCATCTTGCTTGTCATTGAGGACAGGATGCCTGAAGGTCAGATGTCCCTCTTCAGGTGGGCTACCCCAAATTGAACCTTAGAGGGCTGCCAGGGTGACAGAAAGGTGATTTCTATGCCACATTCTCTCTCCCTTTTTCTCTCTTTCTCTCTTCCTCTCTTCTCTCTCTCTCTCTCTCTCTCTCTCTCTCTCTCTGCCACACACACTCACACATACACCATGAGAGATGACAGTTACTATGGTAACAACAGAAAAGAACCATAGGAGGAAAGAATGAGATAGGGCTCGATTCCTCGACACCTCCATTCTCTATTCTGAGAAAACACACGGATGTTCCTTGACTTTCTAGATTCTCCACTTCCATTCTTTGCCAAGAACAACAGATAGACAGAAAGAACTAAATGGGGGAGTAGGTGTCTACCAAAAAAAGGTCGCAGGGGTGTTACTTTGGCTGCAAGCACTTGGTTGTGGTTCAGAAAGGTACAAAGAGGCCTATGCAGGAAGGGGACCTTCCCAGCTGCTGCTAGGTTAGGTTTGAACCAATCAACCTAGGTGCTCTCACCTTTTTACAGACACTAATAGGCATCCCATGATGGGGTCAGGGCATAAGGCTCCCTGGGGCCTCCAGACTTCAGGTTATGACAAGTCCCAGGTGCAGAGACAATTGCTATCTCTCTGGCTCCTGCAGCATGTCTCTTAGTTGATTCTGGGCTCTCTGCTGATGCAAAGAAACGAACAGCCTGTCTAGGATTGTAAGGACATCTCCCTAGGTGTCCAAACTTCAGGAAAATGACAGGGCCTTAGTGTTGAGTTTCAAACCTGGGACAAGTGGCTGAGGTGCCTATTTAACGTATCAAAGCACACCTGGTCTCCAGGCATTTCCAGCATCCCTCAGTCCTCGCCAATTATAGGGTATGGCTGGCATCCTTCTACTTGAACTCTCTGAACTCTCCAGCCCAGGGGCTGAGCTACCCTGCCCCCAGAGGCTCTTCCAGAGATAAGCCAAACATTTTGGCTCTCTCTCTCTCTCTCTCTCTCTCTCTCTCTCTCTCTCAGCCTTCTGGCTGCTGTACTTAAAGCTCCTCTCTCCTTTCTTCTCCCCACCCCCTTTCCCCACATGGTTCAGGTTCATGACTCTGGACTCTCCCAGACGTGTCTACCTTTGGCTATGCTCTCCCACACACGTATAATAAACTTTCTCCTCCACCATACCTAAGAACGGTCAGGTTCCTTTTCCTTTCCTTCTATTTCTTTTTCTTTCTTTTTTTTTTCATTCACTTAGGAATTTAGAGAGTTTAGACATAAAGGGCTAAGGCACCCCCCTCACTCAGTGAAGGCACATGAGGTGAATTTTCTCTACAGTGACGCACCCTATCTGCTAGATTCCTGACTTCCCCACAGTGTAAAAAGATCTCCAGTCCTTTCCCTTCCCAAATGCTTTAAAGCAGCTCCCCCCCCATATCTTCTCCAGTGCCCCAATATATTCCCTCTTCTTCCCTCTTTTTTTGGACCCCTGACATGTCCTGTCTGGCATTAAATAAATATTGTTGCTGAAGGAATGATCTTTGTCAGTGTTCTCTATCCTGTTGGGGACTTCTGCTGAGGACTTCCTAGAGGCAAAAACTGGTCGAGCAGGGATGGGTTTGAAGTCATGCCTACTGAACTTGTATGTGTGCCTGTGCGTGCATTGGGGGTGGTGGGCATACACACAGTGAGGAGTCTGAAGTTGATGTCTGATGTCTTTCTCTTATTTCTCACCTTACTTTTTGAGACAGGATCTCTTATTCAATGGGGAGCTTCCCATTCCTCTATGCTGGGTGGCTAGTGGGTTCCAGGGGTCCGTCAGTTTCCACCCCTGCCTCAGCACTAGAGTTGCAGATGTGAGCCCATGACATATCTGGCTTCTATGTGGGTTCTATGCAGCAAGTATGTTACTGACAGAGCCATCTCCCCAGCTCCTTAATGCATCCTTAGTTTAAGAACAATGACAAATCATTGTCCTCATCAATGTCCCCCTTCTTGACCTCTGGAATGGAGACCCTCATAGTAAGTCCAGGAAGCCATAGTATAGCGGGACCTTGATGACCATCTCTCTTCAGAAACCATTCCAGACCTAACATATAGTCCGCAGCTTCCCACACTGCTGTCCTCCCATCTCTCTGCTTCCTGCTGTTGTCACCCCAGGCCCACTCCCCTGGAGGAGGAATGCCCTGGTCACTAGAATGCACAGAAAAGGGGAAAACAAGAAAGCATGACCAACCACCTTCCCCCTCACCCGCTGGCTTTCTTTGTTTTCTGCTGGCTCCTTCTCTCTGAGCTTCATGTTTTTTCAGGTCTTGGGCTTCTTGTTATTCCTAAGAGCAAAAGAAAGGATGCCATTATCCATCTGCTGTCAAAGATGGGTAAGTCAGAGTGGCCCAGAGATGCAGGCCTGTTACTCCCACTACTCAGGAGACTAAGGCAGGAGACCACACATCTAAGGTTCTACTGCTCTGCACAGTGAGTCAAGGCCATTCTGGCTTGGTGAGCACTTGTCTCGAAAAGTTTTTTAAAGGGGCTGGAGATGTAGCTCAGTGGTAGGACACTTACCTAGCATGCATGAGGTCCTGGGTTCAAGCCACAGTGCCCACAAAATAAAAAAGAGAAAGTCACAGAAGATATGCCGAAAGATGCTCTCAAGCGAGGACAGTGGGACAAGACATTCCAGTGTCCTCACTTGACCCCAGATTCTTGGAAGACCCGGTCACCTCTGGCAGGTCTCCACTTAGAAAACATGAGACAGGGCAATTGCTACATTTTCCACACCTGCCTCATAGCTTACGAATGGCAGCTGTTCCCTGCTGGAGCCTCACTCAGAAGGTCATACTCACAAAGGCACAGGTTGGAAACACCAGACTATCTGTCTCCAGAGGGGAAAATGAAGCCAGTGGGAGTTGAGACGAAGCGCTAAGTCTCGCCTGTCAAAACAGTCACCAAAACGGTAACCCAAATCACCGTGTGGCAGATGTGGGAAGCCTTGCCAGCTTTCTAGAGTTTTGAATTGTTTTGGAGCTTCAGAAGGATTTGTATGCTCTAGCTAAACTTGTCACTGCATTTGTAAAAATGTATCTGATGACAAGGGAAAAAATGAGCGCAAAGCTTCCTTTTTTTATTAATATTTTATTTTTAAATAATTTTATACATTCACTTGTATCCCAGCTGTAGCCCACTCCTTCTTTCCCTCCCAATCCTCCCCTTCCTCCCTCATCTCCTCCCTGCCCCTTCCGAGTCCACTGAGAGGGGGTGTCCTCCTCTCCTTCCGTCTGGCCCTAGCTTATCAGTTATCTTCAGGATGGTTGCAATGTCATTATCTGTGGCCCAGCAAGGTTGCTCCTCCCTCAGAGGGGAGGAGAAGTTCATGAGTTCATGTCAGAAACAGTTCCTGTCCCCCTTATTAAGGAACTCACTTGTATACTGAGCTACCATGGGCTATGTCTGAGCAGGGGTTGTAGGTTATATCCATGCATGGTCCTTGGTTGGATAAACAGTCTCATAGAAGACCCCTGTGCTCAGATATATTTGGACCTTGTGGGGCTCCCTGTCCCCCTCCAGGATATACTAATTCCTCCTTCCTTCATATGATTCCCTACACTATGTTGAAGGCTTGGTTATGGGTCTCAGCATCTGCTTTGATACA